TAAATATATGTATATAAGTCTTTGGATTAATATCACTGATCATTTGGGCTTTTTTTTTTGTAAGTCAATCATTAAACACTTGTTAACTTTCTATAGATTCTTCAACATCAAATAATCATTGACTTTTTTTTTTCTTAGAACATGGCAGAAACATAGCTTTTCAAAACAATTTTTCGATAATCATTATGAGTGTGAATCATCAACAAGAACATGTAACTTTCTATAGATTCTTCAACATCAAATAATCATGGGCTTTTTTTTTTTCTTAGAACATGTCAGAAACATAGCTTTTCAAAACAATTTTTCTATAATCATTATGAGCGTGAATCATCAACAAGAACATAATCAATAAATAAAAAACTAAATAGCCAAAAACATCAATATTTATATGATTTGTTGTTATCCTGCATCAATGAGAGAGAGGGGAGTAGAACTGATAGCCTTGATGTGTGCTAGAGAAATTGAGGCGAAAGAGTAATGAATTATTGTCTTACAGTTGTACGAGAATCCAACATACACTCAGGTAGTAAAATTGACAAACAGAGACACCATAGATTTTTATGTGAAAAACTCAGATAGAGGAAAAATTGTAGGGTCTAGCTCAATTAAAATAATTTAAAATGAGTTAGTGATTACATGTACAAGCTCTTGTCCCAGAAGCAAGAAAGGGTTATACAGTTTCTTGAATTGCAAGACGCTTGATTGAACTATAAGATTTTCAGATTTGAAATCTATTTGAATTTCTAATTATGCATTGAAAGCTTCTAAAAATAGTTTATTGGCATTATCCAAGCTTGATTTGAATTGAGTTAGACTAATTTTGGTATCATTGAGTCTGTATTATCGAGTCAATTAATTTGACTATAAGTTTGTTAAAATTAGAGATATGAATAATTTTTAATTGAAATTTGAACATTCTTTGCTAAAAAATCACCATGAGATATGTGTCAAACAATGATTTTTTTTTATGGCCTAGCGATTACCATCCTATTTTCGGACGAGGTCAACTTCATCATCCGTAAATATCAAAAATTTAGATTTTTTTTTAACACACAAACATATGTATGTGTGTGTGTGTGTGTGTTGAATGCAACACGATTGATGTTGTCCCTCTTCTTTTCCCGCACGACCTAGGCTCGATCCCCGCCTTGTAATGTTGACTTTATTTTTTGTTGTGGGTTGGGTTCGAGCCGTTGGGTAGGTCCAGGCCATTGGGCCAAGTCGGCATGCTCGCGTTAGCAGAGTTGGCGTGGCGGGTAGGCGGCCTGGAGGTTAGGCAGACAAAAAGGGTAAGGCTCGTGGTTCAGGCCGCGCGGTTGTGCAACGTACCTTCACTGCACGTTGCACGCCTACATGAACATTTAGAATTACAACGAAACTCAAATTAAAAGTTATCCAAACTCCAATTTCAACAAACTTATAGACAATTTGATCGGCTCGATGAGATGAACCCGAGAAAGCAAAATTGATTCAGTTCAAGTCAAATCAACTCCAGATCGTCATTAAATAACTTTTGAAGGCTTTAGTTGGTTATCTAGAGGGCCAAAGTGATTCCAAATCTGACAAGCATATAATCAAATCGAGCATTTCGATGAGACGAATTCAACAAGCATAAGATCACTCAATTTTGAAATCATTAAGGCATTAAATATCTATTAAACATCATCCAATTAAGGGAATTACTTTAGGTCGTTTGATGGAGTGGTATGGATTTATACATTATTTATGAAGGATGTCAATCCTAAAATCAGTAAATAGAGTTCTGCTCCTTTCATGAAGGGTAGGAGAAGCTAGATGCCACTCCTGAAATCTGTAAATACAACTCTACTCCATTCATTAAGGGTGGGAGAAGCTAGACGCCTATACCTGATTCTGGTGAAAAAGGAAGAAAAGGAGTTGAATCTAAGAGCTAATCTAGGTTCGAAGACCCGGTGACCACTCCTGTAACTACTGACTACCATAAACCACCGCTCGCAAGCCGTTGTCAACCATTATCAACTGCCCCATGCATTATGGAGTAGCAAAGCACCGTGTGGATTAACGTCATACATTGTAGAGTAACACAACCCTTTACATAGTAACACAACATCGTGAATGGCTTACCCCCAATACATGATAGCAAATAATGTCATATAAAAAATTCAACGATAACTCCCTGCAACAACTGCTTGCAACTTCCATATGTAGAGTACAACGACTTTCATCAGACTCCTGAAGTTCAATTGTTACATCATATGTTGACAAGTGATGTCTCCATTACAATCACCTGTTGTGTAACACCAACTATGGCCTCTACGGCCAATAGCTCATCAATATGACTTATGTGACCAACTATAGCCTATGTGACTCACTTCTCATGCAGCTTCTAAATACAGCTTTGGTGGCTAACTTATGTTCCTAAAGCTATCGACTACGTCCTAAGTGACCAACTACTACTACGACCTTCAACTACAGCCTCTACAACAAGCTGATGTTATTACAATCACCATCTACAATATTTGTGGTGGACTACGACCTTCCTAGCAATCGACTATGACATTTGCGGCCCGTCATCGCTATTATTGCCAAGAAATACCACTCCATTATGATGATTATCACTAAACTATTGTTGTACATATATGGCCTTCATAGCAATTGACTATGACCTTTGCAGTCTGTCATCGCTATTATTGCCAAGAAATACCACTCCATTATGATTATTATCACTAAACTATCATTGTACATCTATGGTCTTCAACTTTATAATTTTATCTTCTCTATTTCAGAAGAAGAGTGAACTTATGTACCTACAATCACATAATTGAATACTCTAATTGGGCTAAACCTCATGGTTTTTTCCTCTTATCAGGATTTCCCACATAAAAATCTTATTGTTTTCTCCTAGTATATTCTTTTTAAAATTATGTGTGTTGAATCTTTATGCAATATTGAGACGTTAAATTATTACTCTATCGTCGTAAATCTTCTTGTGCACACACAATATAGAGACAAAAATAATATAGAGACACAAACATGTGAATTTAAAATTAATTAAACATGTGTTAATTTGTTGGTGCTTGCTTTTCTTATTTTTTGTGCAATACATGTTAAGAGTTTTAATGTTAAATTTTAAACTAAATTAAATTAATTAGAAACGAGGCGGTAATTTTTTTCTTTGGATTAACTAAAATTGATAGAAGTTTTTACATTGAATCTAAAAGAAATAATTAACATAAAATGGAATATTAGAATGAATAAATTTGTGGATAAGTGTATATTTAATATAAGTTTATAAGGAAATTTCACAACTCTTAACAACAAGATTGATATTGATAGACAAATTTAAAAAAAAAAAAAAAAAAAAAAAAAAAAAAACTTGACAAAAAATTTA